GGGGGTCAAAACTGAATGCAGTATTCCAGATGTGGCCTCACCAGTGCTGAATAGAAGGAAATAATCACTTCCCTTGACCTACTGGCAACACACTTACTAATGCAGCCCCGTATGCCATTAGCCTTCTTGGCAACAAGGGCACGCTGCTGGCTCATATTCAGCTAAAAGGCCACTGTAACCCCCAGGTCCTTTTCTGCAGACCAGCTGCCCAGTCAGTCAGCCCCAGCCTGTACCAGTGCATGGGATTGTTCCATCCTAAGTGCAGGACCTTGCACTTGTTCTTATTGATCTTTTGGTCCAATGCTCCAATTCATCTAGGGGTCTCTGAATCCTGACCCTGCTTTCCAGTGTATATACTAATCCTCCCAGCCTGGTGTCATCTGCAAACTTGCTGAGGGTGCGCTCTATGCCACCTTCCAGGTCAGTGATGAAGATATTGAACAAAACTGGCCTCAGAACCGACCTCTGGGGCACTCCACTTGATACTGGCAGCCAACTAGATATAAAGCCATTGGCTATCATCCTCTGAGCCTGATGCTCCAGCCAGTTTTCTATCTACCTTACAGTCCATTCATCCAGCTCATACATCCTTAGCTTCACCTGCAAGAATGCTGTGGGAGACTGTGTCAAAAGCCTTGCTAAAATCAAGGTATACCACATCCACAGGTCTCCCCACATCCGCAGAGCCAGTCATCTCATCATAGAAGGCTATCAGGTTGGTCAGGCATGACTTGGCCTTGGTGAATCCATGCTGCCTGTACCTAATCACCTTCTCCTCCAAATGCTTAGAAATGGATTCCTTGAGGATCTGCTCCATGATTTTTTCAGGGACTGAGGTGAGGCTGGCTGGGTCTATAGTTCATTGTATCCTCCTTTTTCCCCCTCTTAAATTTGGGCACTATGTTTGCCCTTTTCCAATCATCTGGGACCTCTCCTGATCACCATGAGTTTTCAAAGATGATGGCCAGTGGCTCTGCAATCACATCGGCCAGCTGCCTCGGCACCCTTGGGTGCATCTCACCCAGCCCCATGGACTTGTATATGTCCAGCTTTTCTAAATAGTCCCTATCCTGTTCTTTCCCCACTATTGGCTGCTCCTCTCCTCCCCAACCTGTGCTGCCCAGTGCAGTAGTCTGGGAGCTGAGTTTGCCTGTGAAGACTGAGGTGAAAAAGGCATTGAGTACTTCAACCTATTCTGCATTCCCTGTCACTAGTTTGCCTCCCACATTCCTCTCCTGCTCCCATAACTTAAGGGAAAAGTGTTCTTTCTTATGTTCACAGGAATTATTTACTGAACTCAAATAAGACAGCTGCTCTTTGACTGCCTGCCCCTTCTGTACTTTAGACCCTGTAAAATAATTTAAACTTGTGCACACAAATAGTCTCAATTATAGTCGATTGTACCAGTTACATGGTTAAGAGCTTTGATGGATCATGAGTTTAATTTAATGGCTTAGTAATCATTGAAAACTTGGAAATTACCTTCAAACAGGAAAACTCTTTAAAGGTCTCCATGCCATATTGATGGTACATTGATCTGAAATTATTTTCACTAAACTGGTATTACCGCTAGTTTCTGAATTTCTGTGTTACCGTCCATTTTCCTTGCATATACTATATGACAGGGGACAATCATTCAGAATGTAACCAATTCCATTCATCCACATTGTAGATGCTACTGTAAATAAGCTAAAAGGAAAAGAGTCTATGCCAAAGCAATCCTACCATGGAGAGATGGGATTAAGTAGTTATATTGTCTATCAAATTCCTCTACAATACATTCTTTATTAATGACAAAAACAGCTCTATTTTAACCCAACAAATATTCCCCTGTACCTTTCCTTTAGCATTCTGCACCTTCTACAGGGACAGAAAAAGAAAAGCTCTGACCTGAGTCAGAAAGGTGATCTACAACAGAGGTGCAGATCTCTGATATACTACGCTGAACTGAGAAGTACCCATAAGATTCTACTTCTTCTCCAGAAACCAAGAGTTAAACTCTTGGCCCAATGAAGTCAATGGCAAATGTCCATTGATTTAATCAAGACCACCATTTCACTCTATGCATATCGCTGTGATGGGTCATCACTTCTACTGATGTTGAGAATAAATCTTAAAATTATTCTGAAAAAAGTCTCCAATGCATATCTACAGATATCATTTTTTTTCCAGTATAATGCATTACAGTGTACCTACAAAAAACCAGAACTCCTGGTTCTAAAATGATACCTTTTATTAGACCAACTGGAAAATGGCAAGAAAACTGTCCTTTTCTGCAAGCTTTCAAGATCAAAGTCCCTTCGTCAGGCTCTGGGAAAAGTGTAGATGGTACAAGATGGTAAAAAATCTCCATAGGTAGGAAAAAAACTTCATTTTTGCACAGAAGGAGCTGAAGATGGAAGTCTGTCCCTCTGGATCCATGACAGTGTGAGAGCTGTGTTGAGTAGCTTTTTGATGTGTTGATCTTCAGCTCCCTCTGTGCAAAAATGAAGTTTATTTCCTACCTATGGGGATTTTTTACCATCCTGTACCATCTACACTTTTCCCAGAGCCTGACAAAGGGACTTTGATCCCGAAAGCTTGCAGAAAAGGACAGTTTTCTTGCCATTTTCCAGTTGGTCTAATAAAAGGTATCATTTTGAGTTCTAGTTTTTTGTATGTCTTTTTGTCTCAGACCAACACAGCTACCAAGTACACCCCTTACAGTATACCTCTTATTCTAATGATCTGGAGCAGAACTGTCAAAATTCAACCAGCCCTCTGGACCAGATGAGCGGCACAAGCCGGGTCCATAGGCCAGATGTCCCCACACTGGATCCAACGCATGGGCCATCCACTCCAGCCGGTCCAGGGCTGTAGCTTCCTGTAGCATGGGACCTAGACCAGCTGGAACAAGTGCTATGTGCAGCCCAGGTCCTAGATCAGCCAGACTGGGCTCTGGATCTGGGGGAGCCACAGACACTCCCCCCACCCCAAGTCCCTGTTGGATCCTGTGCCTGCTCTAGCTGGTCTGGGACTGCACTACACAAGGTGCTCAATCCAGGACTTGCATCCCGGAGTGGCTGCAGCAGGTGCCCCATGCAGCTCATGTCTTGAACCAGCCAAAGAGGGTACCACAGTATATATCCTGAGCCCTGCACATGGGGTCAGTCTGGCATGCACCACATGGATCAACTATGAGACCCAGGGGCAGCACCAGCAGCCAAATAAGAGAGCTCCATGGGCCGAACCTCTGACATGCCTGATCTAGAGAATTAATTTTGTGATCCAGGAAATGATGTAGGCTATAACTTTCTGAAAGATGAATTAAAATGTACTCATATAACTTTTAAAAAGTGCCTCTTGATCTGAAATTCCCATTAGGTTCAATTTTCCCAAACAAGAGTTTTTAAAAGCTTGCTAGGGCACGGGTATCTAAAATGTCATAGTGCTGGAAACAAATGTATTATTTTATGACCCTCTGGAGAGCTTGTGGGGGGGGGAAAAACCTCTTCCACTTTATTCAGAAAGTCTATGCCTCATTGTTATAGCTTTAATGTTGTAGGTCAGTCAGACCACTGATGACAAACATCATCCCTTAGTTTAAAAAAAAAAAAAGAGAGAGATGTAAAGATGAAAGAAAACACAAGTCTGTCTAGGACAATAGTGTCATTTATCATATTTGCCAGAAAAAAAAATTAAATTCACCTATTGGAATGACATGAATAGCTACTTGTTTTCCTTTATGTAAATGAGATATAGGTTTAGTGTTTTAAAGACAGTCTTCACTTCACCAGAGGGATTTGGCTAATTACTATAACTATTCAAGCTGGTAATACTGATTAATTCAATTCTGCCTGGCACTATAACCGCCTTAGGCTATTTGACAACACGCTACAGATGTTCTGTGAATTGCTATGTGAACTCATTTCCTCAAATGTTCAATGTAAAGAAAAGTTGGGGCTTTATTTATTGGTCTTGGGAAAAAGAAGCTTCAGTGAAAACAAATACTTCCTCTACCCCATCCCAAGCCAAAGATCCCTTTTTCCCCCCCATCTCAGTTAGGAAAACTGCTGAACTGATGCCTGAGGGAGCAATCAAAAA